AAAACCCCCCTCTTTCACTCAATGCATGAAATGACAACACTCCTTGGTTCAAAACTTCCTTCAAATAAACATACTGTGACACATAATATCCATAATTAGGAGCGCTTTAAAACTTCAATTCCTCGCAGAGAACAGGTGAGCAGGTTGGCGGTCAGGTGATGGTGGTGAAAGGGTTACTGCAGGGCAGAAGGGAGTGGCTGCATGTAGGAGTCAGGTGACTGATAGGTGGGGAAGTCAGAAAGCATCTGTTGGAGAATGGCATGTTATTATCATAACTATGATAATATGTCAATGTTGTGTTTATAGGTGTTGTGCTGCCTCAAAATGGCCAAACAAATAATAGTTTGCTATTGAGCCCTAGCCCTATTTTTAGGCCTCTGCTCGAAAATTGCATACCCATACTAAAAAGAGTGTATTTCTGCAACTACAAGGTCTATTTTAATAACTGTGATGTTATAATAAAGGTAACACTTGTGAGATTTGTCCAGATGTGTAAATATCAGTGTATATGTTACTGGTTAAGAGTAAATGAAGATGGCACACAGCTCAAATTGAAAAGTTTCAGGTTCGCCTGGGAAAAGAAATCAATGAAAGCATGATTATCTCTCTTGAATGAAGCAGCTGAAGTGTTAAACCTCTCCCAAATCATGGCACAACATGTGAACAGTCTCTGTGCAAAGTTTGACTTTGATAAAGTGAAGCAAAACAAAATTAGAGAGATTTTAGTACAGAGAGGTCAGGTGAGGTCTCCAAAATGGTCATTTTGGAACCATCTGTTCCATTTTAATTTTCTATACTATATAACTATATATTTCATTTGTTTTATCACTAATGGTGTTCAATACATCCAAATACAGCAGTTTGGCTTCATTTTGAGAGCCAGAATCTCTGAGCCCTCTCTGTCATCATGGAGTTTGGCTGACTCCAGTTCCTCCGTGTCTTCGCGGACCTGTAAGTCAGCAGCCCATTGGTCGAATGAAGTGATTGACACCTCTTTTGACGCGTTAGAGTCTAGAGGATTGAGCCCACCCCACGTGGAAAAGACTGAAAGCACTGTTAGCCAGTCAGAATCAAAAACGCGCCGTCCCTCGTGAAGCATAAAATCCGATACGCCGAAAGTCAAACCCCCACCCCTGGTCCCCTGGTTTAGATAACACCCACGGAAATAGATTTATGACAAAGAGGACATCCGTAGAACAGATATTTGTAAAAAAAAAAAAAAAAACAGGATTTTATGCTTTGTCTTCACGAAAACAGCAAAAGGTGAGCTGCATTTCTGATAATAATCGATAAAGCGGTTTGTGGTTCTGGTGTGTGATGGCTCATATCTCTGTAATGGTTTCACGGAGAGATATATGGAAGATATTTCCGGAATCTGTGTTGAATTGGCTTACTTTCTGGTATCTCGGTTTTCCGTGTTCGCTTGTAGCTTTCTGTTGGTAGCTCCGACCAGAGTGCGGAGTCGGCTCACTCACGGCGAAATATTATGGTAATTATTTTAGATATTTGTTTTCGTTGTGTAGAATTGTGTTTGGAGTGTGTAAAAATGGCTTACGTGATCTTGTAGCCCAGACTTTTTTCTTTAATTGGGTATATAACGTGTATAACATTCATTATATTCATACCTGATAAGTGCATTGTTATTCTGAAAGCCCCCCGTAGGGGAATAGAAGAGTCAAAAACACTACAGATAGTTACATGATTAATATTAAACTAATGAAATGAACATATTATATCAAATATAATTATTCATCTTATAATATATAATGGTATTTAACAGCTGGCTCCTGTATTATAATTGTCCTTGATCTCTGTTTCTTGGTAGACATACTGTACGTCCCTATGTCTCTACTTTGACTGTACATCTGAATGGCAAACACTCCTGTAAGACGTGTAGATTTCCTGAGCATAGGTTGTGATTTTTAGGGGAAGGATTCTATTTCTGTTCTGGACATTTGACAGTGGTAAGATATAATGGAGGACAAACTGAAAATGAGGGAGTATGAAAATGAGCTTGCGTGTTTACAGCAGCACTGGTAACTTTATTCCAACAATTCAACAATCTAAGTATTTGAATCCAAAAGTAATCCTTGTTCATTGTGTTTCTCAGATTTCAGGTGTCGAGCTTGTTATCTTCCTCCTTCACTACAACTCAAACAACCTATATGACCCGGAGAAGGTTGTTGTCATGGGGGACTGTTGCTACGTGAACCCTATGGTGCGCAGGACTTTCCGTTTCCTTGGTAATGTCATCACAAATATTATGCTAATATTATGTTATAAGAACGAGGTGCATCGTCTTGTCACAATTACGTTATTTGTAATTACACATGTAAATGAGATAATCATACGATACAGCTTGTCCTGCTAACAGGTCAAAATGTCTACTGTAAGAAAGCCACACAAAAAAATGCTTCCTTACTTAACAAACACTCAGCAATTAACTAATAAATTGAGTAAATTGAGATTTCAGACACTACTACATTTTTTTCATGTTGCGTCATCACTGAGAGGAAGAGTACGACTGCATTTTTGCATTTGAAATGTGCGATTGTTAGCAGAGAAAAGTCCCCATGGTACTTTTCCCTGTTGAAATATTTGAGGGAATATTGCACATAAATTTCACAAATAAGAATTTGGCCATTTGAAAAATGGCAGATGTGCTTTAATAGCTCTTACATTTTTTCTTACAAGATTCTTTTCTCGTTATAATGACAAGTGTTTGAAAAAAAACATTTCATTTATACACACATTTGTGTGCAATAGAACGTGTCAAGCTAACACTGTATCACCTTGTCATCTGTGTATGCTTCTTTGTAGGTGTGTATGTCTTCGGTCTGTTCACAACAGACATCTTTGTCAACGCAGGTCAGCTGGTCACAGGATGTCTGGCCCCTCACTTCCTGTCTGTTTGCCAGCCCAATTACACTGCCCTCGGCTGCCTGGACACACAGCACTTTGTCAGCCAATCAGACGCTTGTACTGGCGACCCTGATGACATCATGAGAGCCAGGAAGACCTTCCCCTCCAAAGAGGCTGCACTGAGTCTGTATACAGCTGTTTACCTGGCAGTAAGTGGCTCTGTTGAATGTAACAGGTGCTGTAAATGTGCACAGACTAGCATAAATGATCAATAAACGCCAGTTATCTTCATCACGGCTAAAGAGAGTATAAGCCTGAACTCAGCATACAGCTGCTTCTGAATAGTGTTGCAGAAATAAAATGACTGTCCTCTCCAGATGTACATCATGTCCTGCATCGGTTCCAGAGGAGGTCGTCTGACTGGCCCCCTTCTCAGCCTCTCATTGGTCAGTCTGGCTTTGCTAACAGCCATAAACAGAGTGGCCGAGTATCGAAACCACTGGAGTGATGTCATTGCTGGACAAGCCATCGGGGGAGCTATCGCTGTCTTTCTGGTGAGTTATTATGCATCTTATGATCAGTGGTAGCACATGTGCATTAATCTAATAACACTAAGACCTTTCAGAGCTTTATTGTGCATATTATTATTAAAAGATAGTTAGACCATTGAAGTCACCTTCATGATCAATCTAACTGTTGATTTGTTTGTTTGTTTGCTGTTTCAACTTTTTTCCCTAAGGCCACACTTCAGTGATATAGATGTCTCTGTAACGAGACGACCCAATGGCCAAGAACAACAACTGGCATTGCACGTTTCTGTGGGCTAGCATGACTGTTGTGAAGCTGAAGCTAGCTAGCAGAAGTTAGTAGTAGTAAGAGTTCAAGTTGAAAGATATGTAAGAAGGGTAACACTTTATAATAGCTACACACTATGAAGCATTATTTAAGTATGAGTAAACACTTAACTCATCATTTATAAAGCATTGTTCCTACATAACGAGAGTTATAAATGTTTTATTCTTGATTAATAAGCTTGTCTATTGTGTTTCATGATTGTGTTTTCATACTTTATAAATGATGGATTCCTCATTTGTAAATGAAGTATTATATATATATATATTACAAACCAATTATTGAGGATTAATACGATCATTTATAAAATGTAACACAGAGAAGAAGTGTTAGGCTGAAGGGTCCAATACTATGCAAGGTTATCCGTGGACAGCACGCACACACTTACACACATCCCAATTGATCTAATGCCTAGCAGAGATAATAAGTCTATAAATAAAATAGATGAATCAGTCAAATGAATCAAAAGTCATCAACACCAAGTCTTTCTGTAACCCTTGCATTACCAGCAGACAGACAGTAAGTACCCTGTTCCTCACATCCTGTAACTTCTTTGAACTCTGATAACAGTATTGATTTCAAATGAATTACTTTCCCTCACATACGTTACATTTTAAGATTGTTTTTCAAACTAACCAGAGGATCCCAGAGCCTCCTTTCAGAGGCTGAGACCACTGCTCCGTCTCTGTGCACCATTATGTTACTGAGCAAAAGATATTTAGCATGTTTCCTTCATAGAAAACTGGTCTAATGGACTAAATTGCTGCAGGACACAAACGCACTGCACACAAGTTGGTGTTGCTTGAATGAACTTGAAATCCTCTTTTGTGTAACAAGTCATGCACGACAGTGTTGGCGGGGACAAAAAACTGGGTCACAAAAGCAATATATAAAAAATGAGGGAGCTCTGTTTCAATAGCTCAAAAGTATACGCCCACTTATTTCATTCTTTGTGTTAGGCTTAGTCTTTTGTCCTATGACTGCGTTTGGCTACATATTTTCCTTGTCATATTCACATGTATTCTTTTGTTTGTGCAAACATTCGATTTGTCTGCAAAGAATCATTTGAAATGGTTGCAATGACTTGGTCTCTTGTTCTTTCTCTCTTTCTAGGTGGTGTTTGTGGTTCAGTATTTTAGAAAGAGACCAGTGATTTCTCAGAGTCCCTCAGATGCCGGCACAGCTGACACTGATGAACCACAAACGACCCACGCCATGGAAACCAGTGACAAGTACATCGTCACACAGGTAGCTTACGCACTACACGTTTACACATGTACAGTCTGTTTGGGTTTTTAGTTCACAATGTATCAGTCTGTATATATACTAACAGGCTGAGGAACAGCTTCTTCCCCAGAGCGGTTTCCTCCATGCCACAGCTATGGTTATTTGTTTCAAGGAGTTTAATAATACATGTATTCGTATTAAACCGTTCGTTACGAGGCTTACAAACCGAACAATACGTTTGAATAATACTAGTGCATTTGGAAAATGCAGAAGCTTAAATTGTGGGAAATATAATGTTTTCGGTGGACTGCGCTCACGTAGGAGACAACGGGCTGTGACCTCTCAACCCGGAACAATAAAAACCACAACAAAAAACAGCTGAGCTCCCGCACTTCTGTGAGGCTACGCTAAACTAGCTTAACAAACAATAACTCCGCGCATGACGGTATGCTTCGTAATTAACAGACAATGCATATAGTCCAAATTTATATAATTAACACAATGACAACAACAAACTCACAAGAACCAGTCACATATATTCATATGACAACAGAGCAACACATCAATCCAGCAGACCTGCAGCAACACGCATTCTGCTACACACTGGAGGGCCATTCAGATATTAGATGTAAAAGAACAAACTCAGTTGACTTACCGAATGCTGATCACTTAAAGACAAAGCCTATCCTCCTTTCTTTGTTGACAAAGAGTTTAATCCCTCGGTTAATTCCCAACTCACAAATCCGATTCTCCTCCTTCACCCATTGAGTGTTAAAAAAACAAAGCTAGGTAAAAAAATAATAATCTACACCATGCTAAACACAAAACATGTCATAATTTCTTCCATATCTTTCAATTTGAACTCTTACTACTCCGACTAAGCCTCTGATGGCTACTTTAAATTTGGTTTCACGACAGTCACGTGCTCGCCCACTGACCAATCACAGCACAAGCTGCACCTCACTGCAGCGCTGCACATGGAAACTGAGCTGCAGGTAATGCTGACGTACTTGTAGGCCAGCTAGCAGGCTCTGACACGTCAAAGAATACGCCCAACATGTCAAACTAAAGATCTGATTGGTTGAACACTGACAATCAACAATATCGTCCCCATTCACTTAAACTGCACATGGATTCACTTGTGAGTCTGCAGGCCTCGGCCTCTGTTCTTACCTGGAGACACAGAGGTGAAATCTGATTGGATAAAAGCTCTACTTAAAACAAGCTGCACTGGAAGCAGAGCAACTGAGGAAGACAGGAGCTGTGCAATGAGAACATAAGATAATGGGGAAATTATTTTTATAAATTATAATACATGTAGTGTATTTAAGAACAATTATTAAATTATAAAATAGATATAGCTTTGTGATTCTGTTTAGGCCAGCAGAGAAGGCTTTGCAGGCCCTGACGGCCCACCACTGTAATAACGATACATCCATATTTGTTTTTCTGACATGACCAAAATTGAAAGTACAGATACCAAAAGCAACAACACCATTAGCAAAGAGAGTGTCACTCGTCACAGTTTCTTGACAATTGGGCGATTCCGTTGTAGTCGGGACGACTCAAATACAGAAGATCTCAATATTCTGCAGCAATGTACAAATTCCAATACAAATCTTTTATTAAAATGTTTTTCTTTTCTGCTCCTATAGAACCCAGAATCCTGCACAGAAGTCACATGACTATGACCCCCAGCAGCTTCTTGCAGCGTTTGTAAATTAATCATTAATCATTACCACCTTAATCTAAGGCCTTTGCACACCAAGTCCATATTTTTCTTTTGCGTTATTTTAGTCCATCATGAAATATGAATTCTTATGCAGAGAAACATTGCACAATGAGGTTGATGTGTATTTAAATCTATTTGTTGCGAAAATGTATTGGTTTAATGGATAGCGCTAGTCCAAAGCGGGGCTAATAAATGACTGACATTAGCAAGAAGCCATTGATTAGCTGCCTAGAGCAGTATCACGACCATCTGATCTTTCGTACATCCTTTGTTTTGCGATCAGTTTCCATCATCCCCGTTTCCAAACTGTTCTGAAATCCCCTGCCACCGTCGATCTTTACATTTTCTGTGTATTCTATATTTTGTTTGTCATAAAGTGCTTTGTGCTGGGAGATGAAGTGTATTAGCGTATCAGATCCCACTTTAGAGAGTTGTTTTTATGGTGGCTCTGAGTCGTCAAATAACTCTCTCGACTTTTGAAGGAGGCCAAAAAATTCAGAATATTTAATAAAACAGAATTTTCTGCTGTTTTGGACAGCAAAATATAGACTTGGTGTGTAAAGGCCTTAATCAGTTGAATTGCTGTAAACCAGTTGTCACTACATAATATGGCATTTTGTAAAAACTGTGGACCATGAATTCCAATTATAGTAGTTATCCATAAGTTTTAATGTGTTTAATTAAAGCGAAACTGTGAAGGATAATTTACTTGCATGTGTGTTATATACTGTATATGTGCTTAGTGGTCATCGTTTCCCTCCAGCTGGCAGCAGAGCACTTGTAGGCAGTCTATGTTCCAACAGCTGAACACGTCCAGCTTCTGCACAATCATCTCAAGATGGTTGTTGTATTGCTTATGTTATAATGCTGTTGGTTATATATAGCTTTGTCCAGTCATTTTTTGCATGTCTAAGTTCTTTCGTTTAGTTTGTTCTATTGTGAAAAGACTTGTTAAAATGGAAAAAACCTCCTTCATTCCAAAGATACTTATAGACGACTTCCAGTGTGTTCCCTGAAAACATTGTTTGATGAGATTTCTTCTGTTCAGGTAAAATCTATGTTGAACATGCAATATGTTTTAAACTACAGTGTTGTGTATCACTTCAAACTCACAGGCCATCAAAGAGATTATTCATTTTGAAAACACTCACTGTCTTTTGTTCCCATGCTACTCATCCTTCTGTTCTTCTATAGTGTATGTAAACTGGCGGAATTTTAACTTTAAAAATTGTCATCTCAGATGCTACTGATCATAATAATGATACAACCTGGTTTCATCAGCTGGTATGATATAGAAAAAATAATGCAGTAGCCTTATGTACTGTAAATATGAACATATATTTGACTCTTCTGTATGAGCAGTAGTGTTATGTGTACAGGTGTAAATATAGATACTGTATCACAATGATGTAGGACCTTGACTCAATTTGCCCTGTAGCTGTCATGACAGATTCCTGCCTCACATTCATTCTGAATATTTGATTTACATGTAATAATAATACATGAATAGATACATGGTGTTCCATTTCATTTACTTACCTGAGAAAACTTAGTTAGTGCAGTGGTGTGGTGACTTCTTCCGTGGATTTTCTGTTGGTCATGTTTGAGTTTCTGTGCTCTGATCATGAAACAAGAGTCAGTAACATGTCAGACAGTTAGTGGGGAGGCAGCTCACTCAGAGCTGCTCTGCTCTCCCAGAGAGTGGTTCTTAAGGGTCGGACAGTACCAGAACTCCCCCAGCAAACACTTGCATAATTAAAATAATCCATCCATCCATCCATTTTCCTCCGCTTATCTGGGGTCGGGTCATGGTGGCAGCAGGCCAAGCAGGCTGACCCAGACCTCCCTCTCACCGGCAACATGTTCCAGCTCATTCTGGGGGATCCCGAGGCGTTCCCAGGCCAGCTGGGAGATGTAATCTCTCCAGCGTGTTCTGGGTCTTCCCTGGGGTCTCTTCCCAGTTGGACGTGCCTGGAAAACCTCCAGTGGGAGGCGTCCAGGAGGCATCCTAATTAGATGACCGAACCACCTCAGCTGACTCCTTTCGACGCGAAGGAGTAGCGGCTCGACTCCAAGCTCCCTCCTGATGACCGAGCTCCTTACCCTATCTCCAAAGCTGAGCCCGGCCACCCTACGGAGGAAACTCATTTCGGCCGCTTGTAGCTGCGACCTTGTCCTTTCGGTCACGACCCAGTGTTTGTGACCATAGGTGAGGGTAGGAACGTAGACCGAGTGGTACTGAGAACAGCCTGGGGTAAGCCCTGCTTTCCCTTCCTGAGCCGTCGGATGGTTTGCCAGAACCTTCTTGAGGCCAACCGAAAGTCCTTCTCCATGGCCCCCCCGAACTCCTCCCATGCCCGAGTTTTAGCATTCGCGACCACCGCAGCTGCAGCCCTTCTGGCCTGGCCAACCAGGACTTGAAGGTCTCCTTCTTCAGCTTGACGGCTTCCCTCACCTCCGGTGTCCACCACCGGGTTCTCGGGTTGCCGCCACGACAGGCACCGATGACCTTCCGGCCACAGCTCCTAGCGGCCGCGTCCACAATAGAGGCTTTGAACATGGTCCATTCGGATTCCGTGTCCCCAACCTCCCTCGGGATGTGTGAGAAGTTCTTCCGGAGGTGGGAGTTAAAGACCTCCCGGACAGGGTCCTCTGCCAGACGTTCCCAGTTCACCCTCACTACACGTTTGGGCTTGCCGGGTCTTTCCAACCGGTTCCCCTGCCATCTGATCCAACTCACCACCAGGTGGTGATCAGTTGACAGCTCTGCTCCTCTCTTCACCCGAGTGTCCAAGAGATACGGCCGCAAATCAAATGATACGATTACAAAGTCGATCATTGATCTCCGGCCTAAGGTGTTCTGGTACCAGGTACACTTATGAGCCACCTTATGTTCGAACATAGTGTT